GTTCACACAGTTTTAGAAAACCCTTAAGTCGGATCCCTAATTATCTAGATAGGAAGAGTATCTGGGTTTAGATGAACCTCCTGAGATAACATCGTTGGGTAGACTCATTTCGTATGAATTCATTCATTCCTAATTATGCTCTGATGCCTGTAGCATTTTGTATAGATAATCAGTCCTATCCATAACTGCGGCTCCTTTATCTGCTCTCTATATTAAAAGGTCATTCTCCCTACGTTTCCTTATAATATTATTAATTATCCTATTCATATATAGCCATTAATTAAAGGGACAACTTGTAAATCAATGTCACTCTTAGTATCCTTTGAGAGACTATCTTTTAAACTTATCACTACCAAAATTTCCTCCTTGAAGTCCTTTCCAATTTGGAAGGGCAAAGTTCAAGTTATTTAATATAACTTCTTCAGCAGAGATGTTCAATGACAAACATAATAGGCAATAGTACAAACCAAAACACTAGTAATGAAACAACTGCCACCGAATTTATTTTCAATTCGTGAAATAACTTCAATCATCTACAAACACATAGTAAGTTTAAAGTAGTGAATCAAATCATGAGATTCCTTGTTAAGATAGCAAGGTTAGGTGTATAAAAAAGCAATCAGAGTTGCAGCCGGCCACTTTTCCTCTTAGTTGAGTTTATTTTTGCACTATTTCGTAAAGTATGGATTCTTGCTCTGTCTGTCACAGTAAAGACGAAAGCTTAGCGCAGATTTCTCGGCGCCCCAGGACGATGAGCCGATTACCTATTTGCAGAACACAACGATCTTGATTACATGTCAATCCTTTTTCGATTTCTGATGAGATCATTTAATGAATTCCTTCCAATAATTTTTTCTTCGAAATAGACTGATTGTCACAAAGTACCACTATCGTTCCTCTCGCTCTTCTATCCCTAATGCCAAGTCTATGACTCTTGCGTGCCGAACCCCCACTTATCATAACTAATGAGCAAATATATAGGAAAAACATAGGACAACTAATCAAAAGATGAGATGCCTAATAGACCAAATTGGACTATAAGAAAGATGTAGATTTGAAGACGGCCATTCTTCTTGCCCTTATGTTTTGGGTGAATTATCGTTAACCATGGTGTCCGTCACATGACGGATGACAGCTCAGCAAGGATTCATCGGGGTCGCAGTGCAGTGCGCAGAGGACCTGTTTGCACAAATATAAAACCACAGTTTCAAGGCAACCCTCCACAGCCTCTGATGGAACCAACCTGTGAATCCCTTCTACTTACCTCTTCAAACTAAATGATGCTGGCTCACACGTCTGGCCTTAATTTATGGACAAATATAGTCATACATAACTCCCCCACAACAATGGCTTTAGCGATTATAACTTTGAATGTGTCCTGCATGAAGATGCAGATTTTATGAGTGATAGTCTTTAGGTTCCCTATTTATGTTGGCTACTTGATAATTTCGTACGTAAACAAATTTATGTGCTTTAAGTAAATTTTAGTGTTGGTAGATGTCTCCCATTTTGTTGGAATCACCGCTAAACTGATGTTTAGGTTATTAGAAGGTATGAAGACCAAGATGGTGTGGCCAGGTTACTAGGTTATTAGATTTAACCTTAACAGCTCATTGGAGTTTACATCATTGGAAAGATTTACACGATCTTATTTTAACTTCAATTCAGTTTATAATTTACCTATAGTGAGATTTAGTTATTATAGGTCACTTGCTTATTTATCAGCGAACTGCCTCATGTGAAGTGATGCATCTATACCACTCTTAGGCCATTTACGGAAGCATATTTATTATTAATCCATATACCGATCATATCAATTCAAAGCCCACTTATTGGACAAAGAATAAACCTATATCATGGATTAGACTACCGATAATTGCATAAGCTTGTCTGCTTCAACACAAGAGATACCGATCCTAGTAGTTATCATATTTTCATATTACTTTTAGGTTTTCGATAGAGGTAAAGCTTTTTATCCTATTTTGTTAAGTTTATTAATAGAAGATCGTTACTTTTCAGAATGAATAATGATTTCAAAGAATTAGAGTATGCTGGAATCTAAGAATTCCCCCTTCAGGTTAGAGAACGCTTATATGCCATTTTCAAATACAGTGGGACTTATTTAAACAGTCGCCACATTCTTCATTACAGAAACAAATATGTTGGGCTTCCTCTCATTTTATACATGGTCGGATTAGCCAAAATGTCTGATGCCGGAGCTTATTTGCATTTTGCCGTTGAAACAACTCTAGCGGCTTATCTTAACCCGTACTATAAATTTGACGGCAGATAATTGCTACTGATTATAAATCTTTTGTAAACCTATCTAAGATGTTTCTTAATAGACACATAAAATAATGTTTTCGGTCATTTAAAAATAAGTATTATCCTTTTTTCGCATTTTCACCTAGCGAGTCTTCGTGCATTGCAGAGGAGGATATATTATGGACATTACAATCTCACAAGTCTCTTCGTTTTTGGCACCATGGTCGCCAAATTTGTCTCAGTAGACCAGCTCTTACAAACTATTTGGTGCATTTGGCACGAAAATCCGTTCGCAAGCCTCCCAAACCCACCACATATCCTTCAATGATTTTAGCCGACAATGATAAAGACAGATCAAGCACCAGGACACTCTCCGGCGGTACTGAAGCGCTTGTCAGTCAAGTTCGCATGCACACTCGATCATCTCAGGCGTATGAGAGTCGTGCGTCTACCAATATACAATCGTGCTTGATAGAGTCTGGAGTTAAAGTCTCTTCTGAACTAGATATTCATTTAGGGTTACCTAATGGTGATAATACTAATATTTGTACTGATGACTTCCTTTCGCATCCACTGTCAGTCCAGGTGGCCGATAGACCAGGTTCTGATCAGTCAGGATGCTTTGTGGCAGTGATACCATTAGAAATAGATGTTTCATGCTTAAAATGGACTCCGCCAATTAGAACTCATTCCCCCCAGGCGCTTAAGCGGTGAACGCATACACAAATTTCATTGATAATTTGCACCAAGTTTTGGCACGCTAATACATACACAACTTATTTCTGGTGATTTCGACCCAAGATTTATATATCTGAGCTGACCTAAAGTCATCTAATATGCAAGTCCTGTCTGGTGTTTAATACTTCAAAGTACCAAGTGTTCAATGTAAATTTTACGAACGTATTTTATATATTATAATATGAAATTCTAATTATGATGCTCAATTAAAATACTTCGGCAACCATATCATGTTTTCCCAACTCTGGGATAGCCAAATGAAGCTGGGGAAGGAAGTCTACTGTTGCTGACATCCATTGAACTAAAACGACTGTATCATATCCAGTTTGTCTCTTCAATATACTTAATTTGTTCACATGTCTCTGCTTTCTTTTCAAGTTGAAATA